CCTTTAAGGCAAAAAGATCTGCATGATAGACTTGTGGAATTGGTTTGCTTGTTCATACATGCAGATCATACAGCACATAATTTATAGCTTGCTTAGGCTCGCCCCTTTAATGTTCTACATTCTTCTAGTATACTTATATTATCATTGTTATTAATATGTGACCCGATATGGGAAAACCAGGCTTAATGCTCCAAAGTTGAAAATTGAGATTTATGCCCTACATAATTAAGCATAGTTTTTCCTTTCTTTTGGTCTTTGTGCCATGTCATTTGACACATCTAGTGCCGAGTTATGATTATTTATGCAACAAGAAGTCTAAACAGATGCATTAAGAAAGGTCTGTAAATTACCTTCCTTTACTTATTTATGGGCAAATTTGGTATCAAATCAAAGGAAATTTGTCATACAATAGATTTTTGATATAATCTCAATTTTGATAAAGTACCACTGTCACAACTTTGGGAAGCCATATCTCTAATTGACAATTCCCACACATACCCTATATGCCATATATTTTGTGGGTATAAAATTTGCGATTTGGCTACATTTTTGCATTCACGAATAAAAATTTTGGGATACCGTCTATCTGGAAATTTTTACTGTGATTTAAATTTTACTGCATTAGAATTTCGCAAAAAAATAGATTACCCATATAATTACATACCACATTCAATAATACATGACAGTCTTATTTAGTAAAAATTAAGTCACAGCACAATTTTAAGCAGCAAAAATTTCCTACCACACTAATTTCCTGATCTACGGTACCAATGTAATTACCACACCTACTATACAATCAGCATGCTATTTTGCGGATTTTAATTTTGCAAATTTTTCCAAAACGCAAAAATCGCAAAATTTAACTCCGCAAAATATATGCCATATATGGTAGCCTGGTTTTGTCAAATCAGGTCACATATTATTATTATTTTATAGATGACATATCACAATTATCAGTGATACTGGAACCAATTGAAGATGACTGGTATTATATTGGACAGTGTCTTGAAGTGAAGGAATCAGTGTTAACTGAAATCAAAGAGATGACACCAGTTGATTCAAGATTAACTCATGTACTTGAGACCTGGTGTCATGAGAAGGATAGAACAATAACTGAACTGATGGAATCATTGAAAAGAATGGATAGAGATGATATACTGGAAGGTAAGGATTACTGATTGTTATAATTAATGATATTCATGTACTGTGCATTGTCTTTGCTACAGCAGCTTTACATGAATTTTCTACTGGACAATATACAATGAATAATGATGAAAAATATGATATTAATGGTATGTTGTTGTTTGTGAAGCTGTTGGCATGTATATTAATTATCATTAATTTTAGCAAAAGATTCAGAAACTCAAACTGAAACTGAAACTGAAAGCAAAGAAATACAAACAGCACCAATAAGTATGTAATTTTTTAAATTTATTTGTTTTACTTTTATACTTTAGCTCTTGACAAAGAAATTCAGTTTAATTATCTTGTACCAACACAAGGTTAGGATTATGCATTTTATAAGAAATCTGTTAGAGTCACTCGGGGCTATTCCAACCGGTTTTTGCACTATGATCTAATTAAATATTCATGAAGTCATAACTCACTTCTTGTTGCTCTTATCCACTCATTTTAACCACCATTGTATTCTACTAAGTCTATTCTATCCATCACTAATACAAGCAAAGTTCAGCTTGAAGTTTGAATAAAAACTGTAGATAAAGTGACCGGTATTTCGGGGCTATTTCGACCCGAAGGAAGACTAATTATTTGCCTGCTTCTTTCACCTTTGCTATTTAGGAACTAAGCTGTTGCTTAGTACTGTAAAAAAGATATTTCCCTGCTGAATTGATCTGTCTTGCTCTCAGTTCTATATCTGCTACACTTAGAAAATTATAATAGAAAAGCATGACTGCCTAGGCGAGGCTATTCTGACCCTTGGCACCTTGCTGCTTACAAATTTCTCATTCCTTTATACAGGGGGAAGGAATAGCCCCGACTTACTATATAACTAGACAAATGTGAAATATTGAATGGGTGAGCCCAAGCAAGCAAAGCAATGTACATACAATAGATGTTGACAGACTACAATACTCATGCAAGAGCTCAGAACTTGGTGGTGGAGTGAGTGTAGTTCTTGATCTGCCTTCAGTTGTTATTAAAGCTAAAGTTTAGCATTTAGGAAGCATTAAAGATAGCTAGAAGCAGTCACTGCACAAATGATAAGGCTAGATAGGGAACTGTAGCAATGTAGTCTAAGATAATCCAGGCTGTAACTGACATTCACTTAATCAGAGTCATTCACAAGATGTCATATCTGCTTTCTTGATATTCCTTGCTACATTTAGACTGTACTATGAGTAGAGTAAGTAACAAAGACGGGTTTCATGGTTACTTTACTGCATCTATAACCTTGTCTGGCTGTTGGAGAAGCCTTTGGACAGAATTTCTGTCTTATTTTGCTGCTATACTATATCCCAGTTCAGTTTGGGACGGAAGTGGAAGCAGCTGCGTGGAATTTGAAAAATGTAGCTATGTCACAAAAATGACGTATTTTAATGATATTCATAGAAGCATGGCGGCTGTGTTGTTTCACTTTTAAAACAGTCTTGCTCTTCCTGATAAGCAGTACAATAGCTGCTGGAGTCAACTAGTCTTCATAAAGGCTATCATTATCAGAAGATCTTGCTCTGTTAGCTTTTTAAAACAAGAATTATCAGTTTGGGCTCTCAACCACATGTTCTTATGTAAACTATGACGTAGACAAATTGTCATAAAACGTCATTTTGGTATGCCATTGGGTTTATAGGGAGAACCCGGTTCTCATGGTTCCAAGAGCTGAGAGACCCAAGATTTCATAGATTTTGATGGACTTTGGTGACTAAGAACCTGTGAAAGTTTCATCCTTATCCCACATTCCTATGAAAAGTTATTCCAGTTTTTTTTGTCCCAAACTCAACTGGGATATAGTATAGAAACTCATGACTTCTTCCTGTGTGTTGGTCAGCAATTTCCTTAATTACAGGAATATTTTTATACTGTTACACTTGTTGTTGCCACTCCCACTTTAAATGAAATATTGAAAACTGAATTTCTAATGCATAGTATCTACCGTATTATGCATAAATAGGAGTGACGGGACTTGTATAGACAGACAAACATACTTGCTTTGTTTATGTGGGCTCGTCCCAATCATTATGGTCCTATCAGAATTAATTTTTACGAATTATTAAAGCTACCTATACCTGTACCTGATCTTGTGCCAAAATTTTGAAAAAATTTTTGATTTTTTGAATTGTGCCAAAATTTAAATCAAATTTGGATTTTTTGAATTTTTAATAGTAAGTTCAATGCATTTTTGAGGTATTTTTTATTGGCTAAATATGATTGCCTGACCATAATAATGATGTGTTCCAACTCCCATTGTCTGAAAAAAATTATTCCCTGAGATATGAGCCTTCCAAATGCCCATTTTCCTTCCTGCCATTTTACTTACTGTCGGTGGGTGTGGCTAAATGTGACATCACTAGAGCATAGATATTAGATCTATAGCAGAGGAGGTAGGACACGGTTGACCTTTGATTAATAATTGCAAAGTTCAATTGCATTCCATTGGTATCACGTGATGCAAAATGGCCAAATTCTTCCACTAGTACCACTTCCAACAATAATTTAGGGCATCAAGATAGAGTCGATGGGACTTTCATTAATTCACTAGAAACTATGATAGGTGCAGTAATTTTTAACATCTTAAACTAGCGAAGATTGATTTATCTGATGAAGTAAAGAAGAGAATCAAAGTTAAGATGCACTGTCTCTTTCTCCTTCTTATATTCATGTCTATAATCAAAGAAGAAATATTCTCCATACAATGGTGATTTTAACAACCGTTAAGGGTCGTCATAGATCTCTCTAGTTTCTGCAGTAGTAGCTAGTTTTGTGATACAATCATCAGAAAGCTGCCATTCTTCATCACGTGATACCAATGGAATGCAATTGAACTTTGCAATTATTGCTCAAAGGTCAACCATCTCCTACCTCCTCTAGATCTATAGAGTAAATAAAAGGGATTGGAAACTTCCATTCACAGCTGGAAATGCTAGTTACCTATACCGTATTAATTTTAAGCCAATTTGCTCTAATTAATCATATGTAAAATTGAAAATGGCTGGAGAAGTGAAGCAGGTAGGCATGCATTTCATCAGTTTTTGGTTGCATATTGTCTTATTTTGTACATATAACCCTTCAATAATGTAGAGGGACACTCTTTCTACTTGCCCAAGTAGTCTGCTGTGGCAATCATGATGTTTGCAGTTGGAATTCATTGTTAATCAGCACTGTCAATCATTACACTATATTGCATGTTTAGTTGTATATTTTCTGTAATTTATAATCTATATGATTGAGAGTGTGCCAGTGACCTCCGGTATGTTCTAAGATCTAAAATAGTGTGATAGTTGATGTCATAGACCATTTAGTTTTTAAGTTAAGGGTACAAAACAAACCTCTCAAACTTAACAGTAAATTGATCATTACAGAGAGACGAAATCATATTTTCAAATGAAACAAAGTGGGTGACCTCCACCTAGTGATGCTCTATTGAATGATTGAATTAGTTGTTATCATTTGTTTAACACTTTCAAGAAAAAGGTACAAAATGTAGTTGCAATCATTGTCATTTAAGGGCAAAAAACTAGTGTAGGTCATGATGAATGCACCTAAAAATTTGTCTGGGGATAGAGACATGTTTCCTCTGCTTTATTTCCTATCAATCTTGACGAATAATGACACTACTAATTAATGACAGCCTTTGACAGGTCACAAACAAGACGCTTTCTTGCTAAAAGTCGGCAGCCATTGCTAAGAAAAGGGGTAACCTGCTAAGAAAAGGGGTAACCTGCATCTGTTGCCTACAAAGTCAATGTAGCAACAAGGAAGTTTCCAATCCCTTTCATTTACTCTAATATCTATGACTAGAGGCATAGCTGTGGCTAAATCTTGAATTAAATTCATTCCTTTATAGGGGGAAATAATCCTTTATTCTCATGCCTAGTAATGTAATTGCACTAATTTAAAGATTAGAATCATTAGCTTTCATTATTCTAAGCATGGAGGTGCAAGAAAAATTCACAATACACCACATAGGTGAATCTTCTTATTTGTTATTTTGTGCCCTTTTTTGCAGTTCTATGCTTAGTGAATAATGAAAGCTAATAATTCTAATTTTAAATTAGTGCTATTATATTACTAGGCATGAGAATAAAGGATCATTTCCCCCTATAAAGGAATGGATTTAGCAAGCGCAGCAATGCCTCTAGTAACGTCACATTTAGCCACCCACGCGCACTGACAGGAAGTAAAATGGCAGGAAGGAAGGCTCATATCTCAGTGAATAATTTTTTTAGACAATGGGAGTTGGAACACATCATTAGTATAGTCAGGCGATCATATTAAGCCAATAAAAAATACGTACCCCAAAAATGCATTGAACTTAACCTTTAAAGTTGCTCAAAAATTGGGTAAAAATCCCTGAACTATATCACATGTACATGGTCTCAGGCCAAATTTCACCAGAATTTAGATTTCATGTGTTACTTTTCCTACAGATAATTTGGAAGGTCTAAGTGAGTCCCAAATAGCAGGGAAGAAGTTGTTTTTAGTTCAAGGAGACAAACCTCAACTGATGAACTGGGAGGAGTATGGACTGAGGATTAGTGTACCAGAGGATAGTCTATCAGCATCAGAGACTGTAGAAGTATCAGTACTAGCTCTTGTAGGAGGACACTTCAAGTACATATACTGTACATGTATTAATGTCTGTATAGACCACGCTCTAGCTGTGAATGTATATGTATACGAATATCATTATTTTGAGATATGGTATCCACCTATGTGTAACAACTGGCCACCATTTTTGATGGCAATTTGATCACAGAACAACCTTCTGTATGCAAGACACTCTTTGTGTCCCTCTTAAAAACACAGGATGGATATGGCACAGAAACTGTAATCTAAGTAAAGTGGAAGATGCTGTAAACTATAACAAGCATACAAGTATAAAAATAATATACATATAATTGTTTTCACCACCTTGCACACATATTCGAGCTAAGACTTCCTGAGGTTCTCTCTACCTTATTGAATACATGCAGTCATGAGACAGTTAAGATTTTTTGAAGAGAAGTCTTTAGACAATGTTGTTTTGCAGTTAGAGAGCTCAAAACTTTGTCCATGTGTAAGCTGCCATTTTGTTGCATGATCACACCCACTATACATAAAGGACGTGGACGGGTCATTGCTAAGACCTTTTAATTTTTTATTTGAGAATGAAGTATTGACATACATGTAGAATTATACATTGGACGTGGGTGAAAACAATTATAGGAATGACCTGGGAGCTTTGCCCTGAAGTTGTAAAAATGGTTTTTTGACTAAGCTGGAACTCTTTAAAGCTACAAAAGTGTTGGTGGGAAGAGAGAGTGAGTCCTACCAAGCATCTTATTATTCTCGTAAAACAGATTTGGTGTAATTTGCAGGTATTTTTTGCAGGAAAGCTTTTGCTCATTGGCTCATGATAGAAAGTTGCCGTCAATGGAATATATTTTCTTCTCTACCACAGCCATCGCTGTATTTATTTTAGTGACATAATTCATTCTCAGCTAGAGAGGTCTATACTATAGTCCGTAATTCTTGTCAGGGAACACAATCTTTAATTATGTCTTTATTTTCCTTTGCTCCTTTAACAGCTAGAGTTGTTAAAATATGACAACCTTTTTCTGCCAATTTTTAATGATGAAAATATAATTTTTACTTCACATAAATGACCTGCTATACATAATATTTACATGTACATGTATTTTTTTATTATTAATTCCTTTATAGGTTTCCTGATAATACTAGACTAGTCAGTGCAGTGTATGCAATATCAACCAGTCCACTCCTCAAGTCACTGAGGATAGAAATGCAACACTGTATTGATCTCAGTGATCCTTCTTTATCCAAGTATCTTAAATTTGTTGTTGCTCCAGTTCACACAGCTAGTCTTCCTTACCAGTTCTCACTAATTGAAGGAGGGGAGTTTCCAGCATACCAGAGATATGGATGGATTGAACGAAGCAAGTTCTGTCAATTAGCTATTGTTGGGAAGGAAGAAGAGGAAAATGGAGGAGGTAGGAATGAGGAGAGGAATGGAGAGGAAGATGAAGACTCAGGAGATGAGGGAGGGAAAGGAAAGGGACAGACAACAGGAGGAGAGGGACAAGGAGCAGGAGGACAAGAAGGAGGAGCAGGTGGAGGAGTAGGGGCTGAGCATCAGCAACCAAAAGAAGACAAACAAGTTGAGGATAGACAAAAAGATTTCAAAAAGCAGCCACAAGTTGCTGTTTTGACAGAATCTGCTGAATTAAGTTTTCAATCTACAACTGGTACATCATATCAATGTGATTTCTAATAATTTGTTTTAAATAATAATTCCTTATCTTTTATAGTTGTACCTACTCATTCAACTGGTATTTGTGAAGCTACAATATATTATGGACAAGCGTTTTATGAACGAGCAGATAAAATGAGATTTGCAGCTGCTAAAGATTTGAATGCTCTTGTTCAGGTAATTATGTGCATTATTCAATGTTATTGTCATTATTAAATTATTGTAGTTCCTTAAAAAAGAATATCATAAACTAGAAATTAGTGGGCAAGCTTTCAGTTTTCAATTTGATCCTCGTTTTGGATGCCTTGAGCTAGTATTTGGTCCTCAGGATGAACCAATAACTGGCTGGACTGTTAGTCCAGAAATTGAACCTTGTCAGGTACATATGTGTATCACAAAAAGTTTGTTGTTTAATAACATGTTTAGATTAAAGAAAGAGAAATGAATAAATTTGGTTCCGAAATTAATAATACAATTCCTCCATCTTGTTTGGTATCAATTTATGCTGACAGCAGTCGTCCTGATACTGTTCATGTACTGAAGTATGCTATACCATTGAAAGGTTTACTGGAGCCAATGAAAATCAAAGTTAACAGATCATTAAAAGAATTATTAGGTATTTTTGTGATATTATATCAATAACAATAACAATTTTGCCTATAGCTCATTCTGTTGGTACTAAGGATGGTCCTAATCCACAAAATGATATCAAGAAGCACATTAATGATCTGAAACGTTTCCTTTCAACTTCAGAAGCAAAGTTTCGTGACATAGCTAATGGTTGTAAGGAGGTACAAATTATTGATTCTTCTCAGTATGATGAGTTATTTGATGGAATGAATAACCAGTCTTTATCAAAAAGAGTAGAACTTTTTATTGGAAATATTTCATTATTGATTGAGCTTTGTCCTGATTACATTAGTACATTCTTGTCTATACTGAGGGAACAGGATCATGTTGTTCTTTCTACATTAGCTGACAGAATTGCTGCTTCATGTAAGTTATCAGTCATCACAATAACTTACCTTATCCCATACATTAGTAGATAGATGAACAAGATAATGATTACAGGAACAATGATATTAATCATATTACATATGTTTTGATTCAGTTTTATATGCACTGTTTTACTTTATGTGTTGTGTATGTAGTTTTGTGTTTGTATCTAATTTTACGAAACAGTTTAAGAAGATGCCTCAGCACTATGGTGCAGATAATATGCTATGGACATGTAGTAGAGACTCATACTGCAATGGGCGGAATCGGGTTTTTATTGCTGAGCTGGCATTGTATAATGGGGCGTATTCATTACTCTGATTTGAATAATTAGAAATTACGGTCAATGGGGCAGAAGCACATTATTATGTGCAATGTCAACTTGGCGATGTGTCCAAGATAGAGACAGGGGCGTATCTAAGGGTGGGCCTGTGCCCGACCAACTCAGCAGACTAAAAATTTTTTTCTTTTGTATATTAGTCCTTTTAAAAATATTGCTCACTTTATTATGATAGCAATGAGACAAGACTAGCATAGCTAATAGTTTTAGCCAGTGTAAATATAATGATGACATGGTAGAGACTTCCATAGTTCCATTTGGGCTGCCATTTTTTAAATAATAACTACTACTAACCAATCAGTTATTAGACTATTCACATTAATTATCAAAGTAATCGAGTTGAAAATGGCTAAGAAACTTTGCTGAGTCTATTTGAATGTCTTCCCAAGGCCAGTACTACTACTAATGAAGAAAATATAAGCACTGAAGTGCACATCTTAGCTTAATTAAAGTAATAATCGTAGTATTTAATTGACCACGCCCATTATGAAATTAATTAGCTATGGGGATTTTTTTTTTGCGGCGCGCTTCGCGCGCCGCATATTTTTTCTCCGTGCCCAACCAAGGGGGCGTTACTAGAATGCGGATCAGTGCGGATTGCTGCGGATCGTTCCGCACGCTGAACCAAGAACGTGAACGCGCGGAAC